AGCCTTTAACGGCCCAACAGATTGCCCAGACCCTAAAGAGTTAACATTAGTCTTCCTTTGTGTGTGGAAAGGATGGGCCTTAGCCCTCCTCTCTGTCCCTGAAACATTATGTCTCAGCCCATGGACAATCTGGCCTGATCTGCTTCGACCAAAACTTCTTGACCCAGAAACATTTTGGCCCAACCTACCTCAACCATTACTTTTCACATGTCCGTTATGTGTCCCGACTGCATTTGGCCCAACCCTTTTATCCCCTTCCCCAATGGGCTTGTGAAACTGCCCGCTAGGCCCAGCCCATGAACATGATCCACCCCACTCCCCTTTACTTGGTCTGTCACGTGCCCTCTCTTTAAAATTCATACCCCTTATCTTATCTGGATAAGTGCAATCCTGGGAATCCCTTGCATGCCAACCATGTGTCCCTTCTTCTTTACCCTTGGATCCACGCTCTGCCCGCGCGTGAAAACCACTCCATCTTCTTCTTCGTTTAGGACCCAGCAACTCCAGTGCTTGCCATTTCTTCCCACCCATAGTTATTAAAGGCGTTAGGCGCACTGAGGCGCTAGAGTTCCCTTGGAGCCTAGGCGCGAGGCGCACGGCGAGGCGCACGCCCGAGTGATGTGAGGCGCACAAGTAAAAATTTAAAACAATAATTCTCAGCAAAAAGAACACAATTAAACAATAAACATCCAGTAATAAAAATACTAAATATATCACAATTAAATCAATAAAGCAACCAGCAAAATAGCACAATTAAAACAATAAAGCTCCATTAAGAAAAACAGCAAATAGAAGAGACTTAGTTTCAGTTTTGAGTCATAAAACCAAACAATCTTAAGGGAAGAAGAAAAAAACAGAATAGAATAAAAAATAAAAAAAAATAAAAAAAATAAAAAGCAGGAATAGTAAATTTATTTTATTCTTTTATTGCACAAGAAGACAAAGTTCATTGCAACAAACTACTCCCCTTTCTTTCTTTCTCTTTTTGGTCTTTCTTTATTTGTTCCACTCTCTCACGTTTCTTTGTATCCATTTTTATTTGATCATTGCATTTCTTTTCTTTATTTTATTCTTTTATTGCACAAGAAGACAAATTTACAAAAGCTTATTTTTATTCCAGCACATGTGTGCTGAACAGAATTCTTTTATTGCACAAGAAGACAAAGTTGACTACTACAACAAACTGCACCCTTTTTCTTTCTTTCTCTGCTTTTGGTCTTCCTTTACTTGTTCCACTGTCTCACGTTTCTATATTGCTTTTCTTTATTTTATTCTTTTATTGCACAAGACAAATTTACAGCACATAGAAAAAGCTAAACAACACATGGAAAAATGAACAGCACATGAAAAAAGCTGAATAACACATGGATAAGTGATCAGGCGCGCCTAATAAAAGCATGAGGCGCATCCCAGGCGCGCGCCTAATGAAGGTTGTTGCGCCTGGGCTATTATGAGGCGCCTTTCATGCGCCTGTAGGCGCCTGGAGCCTAGGAGCGCGCCTAGGCGCGCCTTTAATAACCATGTTCCCACCTCCTCTCTGCAACCTCAACCATTCATCTTCCGGAAGAACAGTACTCTCATCCCTTCCATCAAGTCCCTCAGTAGTTGGGACAAGCTCTGGATACCAAATACACCTTGTAACAGAGTCGTTTGTCGTTCACAAGAATTCACTCCAGGACGACGCCATCAGCATCAACATAGATGATGACCTTGCTCGCATCATTCCTTTCGTCTGCTTCTACCTTTCTGAAACCCCCACAGGTGTTTCCAATAGCTTCAAATAAACCATAAGACCACAAATGCAGTGGTAAGGCAAACACCATCACTCTCTTCACCTTCTTTCCCTTGAGAATACCACGACACCCCACATGAAAGGACCACACATCCAAACATAAAATTATGCTTGGGACTCTGATCCATTGATATAGTTAAGCAAGGAGTAAAATCTACGAACTAACTAAAGTTCTTATGGAAATGCATTTAAAACTAACACACAATTCCATATTTTCTACAAATAACAGTGAAACAATATGAGTACTCAAGAGATTATATATATTCCAAACTGGTAGATGGCAGGATCTTATAGCAGGCATCCACTCTACACCATGAGAACTCAAGAAATTTGGAAAAGAAACCTAAATAAGAAGGGAAAAAAAATGGAACCGAAATTAAGGAATCAATCTTTGCAGCTTGCTCATTCTATTTATGTTCCATCTACTACAAGCTATCCTTTGTGTGTCTTAGCAATTGAAAATCATAAAATTTCAAAATAGAATATTTTGGAACTTGGATTGTAATGTATATGCCAGCTAGACTTCTGCTGGTAAATTCTCTGGAGATTGTAGCATAGCCCTGGAATAATTCTTCCTTCAACATAGTTTGGGACAGAATTATGGTTATGGAAGAGGACTAGAGAGGTCATCCATTATGAAAAGACCTTCCTTTGAGTGGATTGTAGACGGTAACCATTGTGTAATATAAATTTTTCGCCCTAGGGCCACTTGACACACATGAACTTTCCATTGTACTGGCAACAACACCACGCTTGTTTAAAGCACCTTTACTGCCCCGCAGGGCGGGTGACGTAAAAACGATGCCAAACAACAAAGCCAGCAGCCAAGGGATCAAAGGACAGAATTCGAACTTGGGGGGAGACACAGTTTTCATCTACTACTTTGGATGCATATGTTGATGTTGAGGGCAGCTAATTTTGCTTAAACATGTTCTCTCCTCGATGCCTATACACTTTTTTGCAGGGATTTCCCTTTACTAGATTGGGCAAGCTTTGACGCCCCTACTCCCACCAAGTTGCTGTTCGGGATCCAAAAATGGGAGTCGGAAGCTATTTGTCTCAGGACAGTCTCTCTCTTTGTGACCCCATGGTAGCCCATTACCATATTCTGACCATAAATTAAAACAAGTCATTTATACATTAAGCATCACCAACAACATCAATGACACCCAGAAAATTACAAAACAAAAAACTGACTTGATTCAATAAAAAAATTAGGTCCTATACGCTCGAGATCTACTTGCAAATTGAAACCCATGAATCTATTAAATGTCCATAAAAAGCTTCATTATATTTTTACTTGGAAGTCCATCCATCAAGAATCGTTTACATAAATCTAGAACTCAAAACTGCACATGAGGAATCTGATCATGTCAGATCACCATAAGATTTGGAGGAAATCAGGGGGCATCGACTTTTTTCTATATGTGATTCTTATGCTACTTGTAACTCTTGAAGTAGAACTACCAGCTGGTTCCTTTCATAGAATGAACAGAATCATTTTCACTTCAGCTCAGAATATAGATCAAGGAATTTTGAAACATCAAAGAACAGCAAAAGAAGAAAAGAAGAGTTCCACCAACTGGCTAAAATTTATATTCATTCTAGATTACTGCTTTCAATGTCACAACAACAGCAACTCTATAAAAAAAACTTAAACCATAACCACACAATTTAAAAGTACAAAAGAGCATAGGAAACAATCGCAACCACACACAAAGCAACTGTCAACAGTTTTATTAAAAAAATTAAAAAAGTAAAAATAAAAAAATAAAAACCAATCTCAGCAACAAATTTTTCAAACCACTTATTGTATAATTTGAATTTGAAACCATCGATTTTGAAGGAATTTGTTTTGCTGCTAAGAATATTTAAAAGTAAATAAATAAGAATGAATTTTGTATCAAGAAGAAAATAGGGTAATCTTTAATGCAGAAAAAGTTGGATGTAACATGCAATTTCCAGTATAACTTTCAACATCAAAACTTTTACATAATGATTTTGTTTCACCTCCCTCCAGTAAGTCAATGCACCCTATTTGTAAAGCCCTTCGGGAATGTGTTCAGCTAGGAAGGATCTATTAGTACAAGAAATCCTTTGCTTTTCACATGGTACCACATGAAAATGGCATGGTTTTGGGACGATTCTTTAATTGAATATTGCTTTGATATTGGTCATTTGGAGGAGGAGGAGACAGATCATTGTGAACTGGTGCTGTACGTGCAAGAGGGATGAGTAATCGGTGAATCGTCATCTCCTACACTGTTTAGTGGTTCGGGACAGTTGGACAATGCTTTTGGCCTTGTTTGGGGTTCATTGGGTCATGCCACGTTCTGCAAGGAGCATGATCGAGGCTTGGAGAGGTTGTATGGCTGGGATTATGGAGAAAGCAGAATAGGAGATCCTTTGACGGAGAGGAGACTTCTATTGGGGTGCTTAAGTTTTCTATTATTAGCTCGTTATTTTGTCGGGATTTTGGGAGAAATTATAAATCTATGGTGGAGAAAGTGAATGTTTTGGACATGTTGAGAAATTAGGGGCCCCTATTTGGCCATTGTGTAGCTGTTTTGCTGGATGCGTTCCCTGTTCGAACTTCGAACGCATGTTTCTAATGAAACTTATCAAAAGAGTAAAAACATTAGAAATGATTTGCTCTCTCTCAGAAAATATGGATTGCAAAGAAATGAAATTGATGACCTAAGTTCCTGTCCCAATATCCCCATCCTTCCAGGATCTTTTAGGTAGATGCCCCTTTCTAGCACAAATCCTACACTATTAAGTTGGTCAAGAAATGACTAGCCATCTTACCAGGCAACTTGCATTTTTGCGTGAAGAGAACCCTGGCCATGTGACATCATGCACGATGATTAAATTATAGTGGTGACTATTCTTTTCTAAACTTCATTCACAAGTGAATTAACATCATAAATAATTGTCAATATATCAGGTAGTCAAGTGAAAGACTGATCCATCAGATTAGCAAGTTTAAGAGAATTATAACATCCTATTAGATCCTTTTAAATATATCTTGACGGAACCCTGTAAATATCCTAATTATCATAAATTCAAGTAAACTGAAGAAATTGGAATGATATTCATACAAACAAAAAAACTAGATTAAATGATCGCGTAGCTATATTGAAATCTAAAGCCACAAAACCACTCAGTAACCAGAATTCAGCATAAGACGAAAGGATTTTGTACTTACTTTTGCAAAAATTTCCAGCAAAGATGCACACTCCTCCTCAGCTGCAATTTGTAGCTCCAGGACCTCCTGCATTTTGGTATCAACAGCATCACAATCGGCTTCTGCATCTCGCAATGCAATCGCCAAGCGTTCCTTTTCCTTCTCCGCAGTTGCAAGATTCTCACTAACCCTTTCAGCAGTCTCGAACTCTTCAGCCTCGCAGGCTTCCTCCAGTTCCTTCTCCAGTTCCCTGTGTTTGGTTGATGCCAGAATTACATTCTCGGCAGCTTTCCTTCTCCTTCTGGTGGAATCCTTCCGTGCTGCAGTCACACAAGACACCAGTTCCCGAGCAAGCTTGAGCTTCTCAGAGATCTGGGTCTTAATTTTCTCGAATTTCAACTCAATTGAACCGCCAGTGCTCGCTGGTTCATCTTCTTTCTCAAGATCCTCGGATAAAACCACAGAAGGCTCTGCAATTGACATCGAATTATCATCTGGGTTAGTATTGGAAGAGTCAGTAACGCCTTTGGAATTATAGTCCTCCTCCACTGCTGTTGGTGGTGGTGGTGGTTCTTCTTCATCATCTTCTTCTACATTTTGTTTGTCTGCAGCTTCAGTTGATTTGTTTTCAACAAATTGAGAACTGACATCCAAAGTATGATGATGACGATGGGGAATTGGGGAAGTAACTTCTTGTCTACCATATCCGATTCTCAAACCAGCTCTCTTTTTCTTTCTTAAGGTGGAAGAAGAGGACTGCCGAGATAACAATGATGATGATGGTGAGAGCGAAACTTCTTGTTGTTTTTCTTCTTCTCTAGTCGTACTTGTAGTGGTAAGGGTTATACTGATGGAGGGATCGGAAGAAGAATCAACTTCAACTCCAACTCCAACTCCAACTAGGGTTTGTGGAGTATCATCAATAGGAGTAGTAGGAGTGATGAGGGTAAGATCAGAGAATAGGCTCTCATCTAGGGGCTGAGATGTGAACGACACTGGATCATCATCATCCTCGGCTGGAGGAGGAGGAGAGAAAATCATAGGTGGTGGTGGTGGCGGTGGTGGTGGTGGTTGTTCTTGGTGGTGATGATGACCATCATGATCTGGCATATGATTAGAAGGGTCAAATAGGACCATCCCTTCGAACAAAGAATCGACCACTTCATCTTTATCCTCCACCACCACCACCACATCCTCCTTTTTCGAAGAAGAAGGAGAAGAAGCCATTGTTATTTGTTATTCTGCTATGATGATGATGGTCACAAAACTTAACATTACTCCTTCCTACAGGTAGCAAAAGGTCAGTTCAATTCAAGAAATTACGGAGTACTAGGCAAGCTAAAGACTTGCAAGTGCGCCCGCTATAATCTACAGTATAATCCATTTGTTTAGATTTCGTATTAATAAATAGGAGAGAAAAGAAAGAAATTAATAAAGTTGTTCATATATTTGGATATACTCCTCTGTCGCATTTTAAATGGCGCCACAAATGTGAGTCACAAATTTTTTTAGGCATCCTTTAAAATGGGACGAAAATAGTATTCAGAATAAAAAGATAGAAAATGATACTCCATCCCAAATTATGGTGTGTTTGGTTCTTACTTTGTTTTTCAATTTTTTATTTTCTTTTACTTGAAACAAAATAAGTGTTTGTAATAGTAATTAAAAATATATTTAGTATCATCTATTTATTGCAAGATTTTTGAAAGCAAAAATATGAAAACGTTTGATAAAAAATGTTGTAAGTTTAAAAAATATAATAGTTAGTTTTAAAAAATATTATTTATCGCATACACAAACATATAAAAATACCAAATGGGTGTTTCGATTTTTTGCCACATTTTAGCTCTATGAAAACAAAACAGTTTTTACCAAACATGTTTTTTTCACTATTCACTGGTACTCAACAAAATAAAAACACCAAACAGGCCCAATGTCCACTTTTCTATTTTTTTCTCTCACAAAATAAGTGTTTCATTTGAAAAGTCAATGTACTATTTTTTATAATATTACCACTGGGGATAAATTTGGTAATTCATTCACTATTAATACAATACATAAATAATAAAAATGATTCTCTTAAAAAGTTAGATTTTCCAAAAAGGACATTTATTTTGGGAAGAGGGGAGTAGCATTTGATGTGTGTTTTTATTTATCAATAATAAAATACCACTCGCAATAGAAGATAGGGCTATGTTGAGGGTGTCGAACCTCAAGGACTGTGGTGGTTTATCAAGTCTTCAATTAATACTATTTTAATTTAGAAAGAGATTTGATTTGTTGTGTTGTGCTGCAATTCAACAACATAAAAGAAAATAATTGGAATAAAAAGGATTGAGATCAAGAGAAGAAATACTTAGGGATTGACTTCACCACAAACCTCATATTATAGTCAACTGTTCAACCTTGGGATTTCAATAATTATGTATCATATGGAATTAAACTCAATAACATTCGTTTAATTCAGATTTAAAGAGAGATGTTTCATGAATTTCAATTCATAATAACCTATCTTCGGTTGGCACGAATTATTTACCTACCTACTTCTAACTAATTTTGCAGTATAACTCGTCTTCCTTAGGCATAGATTATGAAAACATTCATTCATGAAAAAGTTTGAACACCATTGCATGATCTCCATTCTTATGTCCGATAAAGCTCCACCAGATATCGTCCAATAATAATGGATTGAATATAATTTAAGAATAATTAAATCTAAGACAAGGTATTAATCATTCAAAAACTATTTAATAATTAAAATACCAATTGAATTAAGCAATTGTCTAAAATCATGCGATCAAAATACATAATATATTAAACTCCCAAAGTACAAAACAATCAAACCATAGTATTCAGATTCGGGCTACATCGATGCCCTAAGAGAGGAATTAGCTACTCATGACGACGCAAGGTATCATCTGTATTGTTGTGGTCTTCATCGTCATGGATTGCCAAAACTCCTTTTGGATCTTCTTCTTCAAAACCCCAAAAGCCGTCGTGAGAGAGAGATATCAAAGACCTCAATATGATGGCCTTGTGCCTCCTTTTATAGAAGGAATTAATTTAGAATAAGGGTTGGATGGGCTTTTAGGTCTTCTGGGGTAATCTGGACCCATTTGGGATAAATTATGACTAAATTAGAACAAATCCTGCAACTTGAAAATTCTTACTTAACAGCAAAGCTCGAGCTTTGGGTACCAGGCTCGAGCTTTTTGGTACAGTGCTCGAGTTTTTTGTACAGTGCTTGATCCCTTTTTCAATACTTAGCCAATTTTCTTCAAATCTTTTTCGAAGCGTCTTTTTCTTCAACACTTAGAATATTTTTGGGTTTTTCCTTTAAATAGTGCTCGATCCCCCTTTCATGGTGCTCGATTCATGATTTTTGGGTCAAGGCTCGAGCCTTTAGTACATAAGGCTTGAGCTTTTGGTACAGGCTCGAGCTTTCAAGAACATACCTCGAGCCTAAGCGATTTTGACCCATTTAGAGTACGAATTTGGATATAGCTATTTAGAGACAAAAACATCGGACTTCAAGTCTTCTTTCTAGAGCCGCTGAGTTTGCTCAATTTGGAGTTTTCGAGTGAAAAGTTATGCCCAAAATACTAAAGTAGGTTCAGAATTCTCATCATTTTTACTTCAAGCTTGCTTTAGATGGCCGGCAACAACTCGGTAAATTTCTTTATCTTTTCATCATAAAAGCCCAATTTTAACCGTTTCTTCGGAAAAGTACCTACAAACACAAAATACATATAAATCAGTCTAACAATGGATAGAAGTATCACTTTAGGTTTTAACATACGTATATTTAGGGGCTAGAATGTGCAATATTCAGCACTTATCAACATTCTTGTTTGAAAAGGGAAGAGCAGAAAAATAAATAAATAAACCATTTTAACCAATTTACAATGATACCCTTTTGTATGTAGGGCTAAATAAATTTATTGCTCATGTACACCATCTTGATTTCTTTTCATTATTTGTATATATATTCTTTAGGTTTCTTGATCTGCAATATTTCTATTAGGGCTCCTCTTTAAATAAAAGAAATATTTCAATTAGTGTTGCACTAGTTAATGTATTAGTGAAGTATAATAAGAATCAGCGTGTATAGGGTTTTATTACATCTATGTGACATATTAATTCATCTTAAATTTATATTCCTTTTTTCTTTATACTTTTATGCTTACCTGATCATGTATAAGGCTGCAAACGAGCTGAGCCGAGTAGTGGGATGCTCGAGCTCAAATCAAGTCACATTCTTAGTGTTTGAACTTGGCTCGAATGTGTTCACTTAAAACTCAAGCTCAGCTCGAAGGTTGTGATGTGTTCTAAAACTTGATATTCTTTTTAGTTAAAAATCACTTGCAATAGTATGTGTCCTTGTAGGATACGGCTATGTAAAGGGTGTCGAACCACGAGGATTGTAAAGTTTATGGCCGTTAATTTTTAAAAATTAATTTCGGCTTAATTTGAGAATGATTGAATGATGATTGTTATGTAAACTAAATTGCTTGATAGTAAATATTAGACTTGAAATTAAATGATTAAGTTTACAAATGGAGAAAAGACTAGGGAATTGACTTCACCACCCCCGTTGTAACTATGTCCAATTATATTTGCTTTAGGGAAAACAATATTAAGTATAACAATGAATTATGTGGCTTGCACTCACAACAAATTCTTCAAGAGGATGAATGCACATATAATTCAAGAACTAAGCATAGTTTATCTTCGGTTGGTACAACTCGTCTACCTATCTAAATTACTCTAATGTGTAGCACGAATTGTCTTCCCTATGTATGATATATCAAAGTTCTTGCCTTGTATGCCATGTAAACATGTGTATAACTTATCATTTCCATTATCACTATGAAGATAATTTTGGTTCAAGCATAATAAAATATTTCTAAGATAAGAAAAGGGTCTTATCATGAAAGAACATTAATATTGAAATTCGTTACAAGATATATAATACTTGCAAAATCAAAGTTATATAACAAAGCTATGCATTAACATAATTTCTCCCAAAAATACAAACAAATCAAAACATATTTACTTGAAGATGGCTACATCAACTCCCTAGGTGGAGGTTTAGTTCCTCACAATCAAGATGGAGGCCTCCTTAGGGGAAGAAGACATTATATCCATGCTAGACTTCATGGATGAGCTTCAAGCTTCAAGGACCAAGTTTTCTCTCTCTAGAACTCTCCCTTGTCTCTCTCTATATTTTAAGATATATCCTTCAAAATGAAAGGCTTCCCCTTTTCTATAGCCCCAAAATCTGGTCAAAATAGCTAAAATTCGAGCTCCCACATAAAGCTACCATCAGATCCACAAAAAAGGGAAAAGTAAGTCACTTTTCAACCACTAAAGTTAAGTCTACGTCCGGTCATAGCTTGTCTTGGTGAGGGCCGTGGTTATTTTGTGCGTACGTGAGGGGTCGTCAGCATGCTGGAGGCTACGTCCAGTTGTAGTTTTACAAACTTTTTGTGACAGTCCTGATTTTTAGGCCAGTGCGTCAGTGATGAACCAAAAGGATGATCCGATAACGGATCCGAATATGGAAGCGAAAACAGAAAACAAGACTTTAAGAAGTCAAAGTGACCTTCCATGAGGTCGTGGAACTCAACAAAAACTGATGCGGAAGCAAAATATCAAAAATATGACAAATAAATCCACAGGGGCAAAATAGTCATTTTTAAAAACTGTAGATTCAGGTGCCACCGAGCACACCGCTGGAAGGACAACGAAAAACTAATCAAGATGGACTTAAGAATCGCATGATTCGGAGTCTGGACGAAGGAGAAACGACATGACGAAGAAAAACGAGTACTTAAGGCAAAAAGGGTAAACTGGTAATTATCCACGAAGAACTGGGTGCAACCGAGCACGCCGTTGGAAAGACAGCGAAAAAATAGTCAAGTTAAAAAAAAAAATTTCACTTGAATCGGAGTCCGGACGAAGGAGAAAAGCCTAAAAGAAGAATTGATGTCGCGGCGGCTCGACGAGGGGCCATGACAGCCCCATGCGCACGGCTATGCTCGCGCCCATGCATGCCGCGCGCGCGCTGGGTGCACACATGGCTAGCAGCAGCTCATAAAGCTGCTGTGTGGTTTTTTTTTTTTTTTCAGAAAAATCCAGAACAGAAGCTGAATTTGGAGGCCTAAATGAATTTTTTTGCAAAAACACAAAGAAGAAACCCCCCTCAAAATTGAGTTTTCTACGTGACTTGCCAAAGAATTCAAAAAAAACTCACTGCAAAATGGCCAAAATTCCCTCCCAAGAAATCTGGTCAAAAGAGCTAAAAAGCTGCTAAAATGAAAATTGGAAGCTGAAACTTCACGAGGGATTTCCGGTGCCAAGACGATGTTTTCTGGAAAAATACGAAGAAAAAAACCTCCCTA